TTTTGGTTATTGACTAAATTCACCCTTTAAATCAGGAGGTGAAGAGATATACTTTTTTTTTATGATAAATTTGATTTTAACCAGCGTAAAAAAAAAAACAGCGAGTATGAGCTTTAACAAACTCGACGCCCATCGAAAAATCTTCCTCGAAAACGCACCGTTTCATTTACTTCATCTAGAAGCAGCTCACAGCAATTAAACCGGTCATCACAAATAATCCAAGGGAGTGAACTGAACCGAAGACCTCGTTACTACAGAGGATATCACCACTATGAGTCTGTGAGTCATCCTCAAGGCACTAACGCCTTGATCAAATATGCATGACTACAGATGTTATAATGGATTTGAAATTCACAGTTACGTAAAAATAAGTTCATTTAGCCCGTATTTATCAAATGATGTTTAATAGGGCTAAACACGCCAACCCCTAATCAAATGAGTTTCAACACAATTAAATGAGCAGTCTGATTAGATCCGTCTAAAACGCTTGGCAGGAAAATGCTAATCACATTTTCGTAGGAAAATGAGGTTTAACATCTCCAGTATTCATATTTAGAGAACCAACTTGCGATATAGACGGTTGATGGTATTAATAATTTTGAATTATGTCTTACTACCCTATACCATTAGCGTAAGACCTTTGGTTGGACCAATGAATCGCAAGCTTAACCGATCCAGTGTCCGGTTTAGTGTTAGAAAGATGGGACAACTTTGTTGTGGTGAATAAACAAACTTTCGGATGAGGTGGGCAAGACTTGATCTCCACGCTAATCACAGATCAACGGCTCTTATTCCGACACGTGCGCAAAGCTTTAAAAACGCTTCGCATTGTGATGTGAATCATAAATAAAAACAGCACGACGTTGTATTCTGTATATTTGAAACGACGTGTTGTTTTGGTGTTTTCCTTTTTTATCTGACGTTGACTCTTTGACCGACTCACAAAATAAGAATGCTTACTGTTTGCCACTCCGGTGAGTCTCTATACAGTCCTCCGTATCGATTTCTCTCTTCTTCAGTCCTCCATATCGATTTCTCGTTCACATTCATACTCGTCTTTCTCTTTTTGCACAAATTTCTACTCTTAAATGGCGAAGGATTGGCGCGGCGGTGACCGCGTTGAGGTGGAACGAGTTGTTTCCGGCGCAGCGGTGTACTTCCCGGCGATTGTGGTTAGCGAACCTTCGGTGAGAAAGAATCTCGTTTGGGTTGAGCATGAAGCTCTCGTTGTTGGAGGTTCCGTACGTATGAAGGAGTACGTGGTTCCCACGCGCCTCCGCCCATCTCCGCCGTTCGAACCCAACCGGAGCTTCAAGGCTGGCGATGAGGTCGATGTCTTCAGAGAAATCGAAGGTTGCTGGGTTAGAGCCAAAGTGACGGCTGTTCTTGGAGATTCGAGGTACATTGTGAGGTTTAATGGCGAAAATCGTCCAGAAACAGAGGTTGATCACTTTAATCTGAGGATGCATCGTGAATGGGAAGATGGCGCTTGGGTACCGTCTTCTCTTCCACAGGTAAATCCATTGATTCTCTCTGCGTCTGATTCATTTGAATCTAGGGTTTAAACAGCAAGCAAGATTTATGTCTGATTCTTTTTTTTTTCTTCTGATTTTGCAATTTTTTCAGCTGTTATTTATGGGAAGAAAAATTGATAACCTGTGACACAGATTAGGCTTTCTAGATTTGGAATGGGATTGGGGAATATTAAAGATTATATAACGACTTGTATCTGAGTTTCTTAATTTAGACTCTTGTTTATTGTAGGTTGGGTTTTGGCTTAATATACTAACAATGCTTTGATTTACAGGGAAATTACTTGGAATCTATCCACAAAGGTATTAAACTGAAGATAAAATGCAGACAAAGAGATGATCAATATGAGAAGGGGGCTATTGTGGAAGTCAGAAGTGAAGATGAAGCTTATAAGGGTTCTTGGTATTGTGCACGCATAGTTAGTGTATTAGGTGATGGTAAGTACATTGTTGAACACTTGAGTATTAAAAGAGATGGTGATGTATCTATCCCTCTGAGAGATTTGGTAGAAGCTCAGAACATGAGACCAGTTCCTCCTCAAGCACTTTTGTCTGTTGCGCGATATGAACCAGGGGATGAAGTTGATGCTTGGTTCAACAAACGGTGGTGGATTGGTAGGGTCTCTAAAGTGCTCGGAGGAGGTTCTAAGTATTTAGTTTATTTCAGCGCAACTGGTGAAGAACCGATAGTCCTACATTTCAATTTGAGACCCCGCAAAGACTGGATCAATGGACAGTGGATTAATCCTTCTAAGGTATTGACTTGACTGATCTTGTTATTTGTTTAAGTAAATGTTAATGTCGTTATACTTACACTTTGTGGGTTCCTTTTTTATGTACAGGAAGAATGCTGCAAACCTCTATCGAAGAAGCTGAAATCATGTGAGAGAGCAGTGAAGGGGTTTAACAAGGGAATGATGGTGGAAGTAAGAAGCGATGAACAAGGTTACGAAGGCGCGTGGTACTCTGGGAAGATCCTAAACTACTTAGGGGAAAACAGATATATAGTGGAGTATCAAACACTGAGAACAGATGATGAAAGGGAGTTGTTAACGGAAGAGGCAAGAGGTTCAGATATAAGACCTGTTCCTCCTACATTGATTCAAAGGGCGTGTCGATACGAATTGAACGAAGATGTGGATGTTTGGTACAACGATGGATGGTGGTCTGGACAGGTCTATAAGATAAACAACAACTACACGCGATACGGTGTCTACTTCAAAACGACTGATGAGAAATTGGAGTTTGAGTACAGTGATCTAAGGCCTTGCCAAGTGTGGAGAAAAGGGGAATGGACTCGTCCTTAAGTAGATGAATAACAGTAATTAAAAGTCTAATTAACGTGACTTGTCTAAGTTATATAACATATGTGATGTTGTCAATTTTCTGAATATAAAATCTTGTCAATTGAAGAGTTCAAGTGTTTTAAAATGTTTTTTCTTACAACTTCAACCCTTGGAGGAAGTAGAACTAATGGGTTTTTGTAGACCAAAACGCACCGTTTTCTCATTGACGGCGACGGCAGATTAACAAAGAGGTTGTATTGTTACGCTTTAAAAGCTTGGGGTGTTTTTAAACAAATATTTTAAACCTCAGGGGTTTCTTTTCTATTTCTTCTTTAAAATACTTTACCCTCAACAAAAAAAAAAAAAACTAGAAAAGAATCGATAAACCCTAAACCCACTCTGATTTGTTAGTTGTTCTTCTACG